AACTCTGAGAGAGATAGCCGCCGAACTTTCTGTATCTCACGAGTCGATCCGTACCATTTTAACTAATCTATACTATACATTAAAGGGTATGAAACATGTTGCTGCTCGACTAGTTCCAAAAGATCTAAATTTTCTCCAAAATCTCAATCGCATGAAAGTCGCTGAGGATATGCTAGAACGAGTCAGTTTGGACCCAACATTCATGAAACGCATTGTTACTGGTGACGAGACGTGGGTTTATGAGTTTGGCATGCAAACTAGTCAACAAGCTTCGGAGTGGCGCCTTCCAATGAAATCGAAAAAACCACGCCAAAGTCGATCAAAAGTCAAAGTCATGTTGACTGTTTTCTTTGACTATCGCGCTGTTGTGCACTCTGAATTCTTACCGGAAGGTCTAACGGTAAATAAAGAATATTATTTGAGCTTTATGCGGCGTTGAAGAGAGCAAATTCTACGAAAAAGGCCAGTTTTGTGGATAGAAAATTCTTGGATTTTGCACCACGAGAAAGCGCCTTCGCACAAGGTGGCATCAAGGTGAACGAATTTTTGACCGAACACTCAACAAATACCACCCAGCAACCACCATATTCACCAGATATGGCTCCTGTTGACTTTTTTCTTTTTCCTAAACTCAAATTACCACTTCGTGGCACCCGTTTTCAATCGATAGAAGACGTAAAGGAGAATTCGCGGCGAGAACTAAACTCAATTCTGGAAGCAGCGTTTAAAAAATGTTTTGATGAATAGATTATTCGTTGGCGCAAGTGTGTCGTCTATAAAGGAGCATACTTTAACTCGTTGAGTACCGTCATTACAGACAATTAAAGAACAATAGGTTGCGGTCACCGGTGACAGTTTAAAGATGATAAAATAAATTTGTATTACAATTATTACAGACATTTTTTGTATTGTTGAATTTTTCTCGGTACTTTCTTGACAGAGTAGTACTTAGCACCAGCGTATATAAGGCACTAGCTGTTGTCTGTTATTTGAAACGTTAAAATGTGTAGTCTATTAAACAAAATCCAAGTCGTCAATTAAACCAATAAATTAACACGAGTGCGCACAGTATGAAGCCGAAACAACGTGTGAGATAGATAGATCACCAACGCGCTCGCCCCTCTACTACCTGCTTCCCTGCCCCTCTACCCGCTCACGTATTATCGGGTTACCTGTCGCTAAGAGCGGAGGATCACACACAAACAGACAGGATTTTTGTTTAATTTCATTTTATTTCATTTGATAGTAGGTCCCTAAGGATATTAAGAACGTTATTACTGCAATATGAACATAAACAAAGTTAGATTAGCTCTAACTTGTAGTAATAGTTCTTAAATAGTACGTACTATATGTACTTAATCTACACATTACTTATTTGTTACATGTGTTAAATATGAAAAAACCCGAATATTTTCCCATTCGGGAATTTTCCCCGGGTTTTTTCCCGGTTTTTTCCCATATTCGGGTTTTTTCCGGGTAAAATCCCATCTCTAAACTAACACGACTTTCTTTTATATATATAGAGGTAGATAGCACGTCACTGTGCAAGAGTAATTTACTTGGTTTTCGGCAGTTACAGAATAAAAATGTATGACAAAACCAGTAATTCCAATTTATAAGAGACTTCAAAAAAAAGAGGAGGTTCTCATTCGACCGGATATATGCTTTTTTATGTTTGTTCAATATGTCCGTTATTTATCAATATTAGCCGATTTTGATAATTCTTTTTTGTTGGAAAGGAGATAGTCCCATGATAAGGAAATCAGGATCTGATGATGGAAGACCAGAGATATGGAAGGGAACTATAGAAAATTGTAAGGCCAAGTAATGCGTCTATTATGTTTTTCAATAAGGATTTTGAAATACTGTAATTTGATAAGGGTCTGGAGTCGACCTGATGATGGAGCCAAAAGACAGTCGAGGGAACTCGTCAACGGTTTATATTAACTACCTTGTGTTTGGACTTGATTGATTTGTAATTATGAGAACTTTACACCTTGATGGAGTGGGTCTGCTATTGCAAGTGGGTCAGTAAGGGTTTGATGATGAAGAAATGTATATGTTAAATTGCCTGTTCAATGGTTTACGGTAACTACCTTGTGTTTGGGCTTGTATAATTTGTAGTGATTACAACTTTGCACTTATAAAATAAAACTGTGTTTAAAAAACCGGCTTCAAAAAACCCAAAACTAAAAATAAACAAAATGTGAAAACTAAAAAGCTAAAAATAACTATTATTAGTACTGATAGGTTACTCACTCACTGATAGGTTAGAAGTCTGTGCCATAAGCTTTAAGCTTATATCAAAATAATTCAACTTAATGGTCACAAAATTGTAAACAGCATAATATTAGGTATCTATTAAGGTTTTAATGAATTGTTTAGAATTATGATATTTAGAATGTTGTTTAGAGCTTATGGCGCCGACTTAAATAGTAAGTTATCAGTGACTTATCAGTACTAATAATATTTTTAGCTTTTTAGTTTCTGCTTGTTTTTAATTTTTTTGAAGTTGGTTTTTTAAACGCAGTTTTAATTCGAATTCAGTTCATCAAACCTTTCTTCTTCAATTAATGAACAGTTCAACAACCTGTCGATTGAAGTTGGAAACATCAAATACTGCCAGCACATTCACCTAACTGTGCAAAAGAAAACATACAAAGAACTAAGTCCTGAAAAACGAATTTCATTCATAACATAACATCACGCCTTTTATACCCGAAAGCGTAGGCAAAGGTGCACATTACGGCACTCAATGCCACTGTACAATGTAACACCCCCTTTTGACTATTTATGTTATGAGTCGTATGTAATAGGGGGTCAGTCTATTGCCATATACCGGGCAGAATTCCAGACTCAGTGCTACTACTGGGAAATTTTTCAATTAAAAAAAAAATATCACCAAAATAAAAAAGTGTAGGTAGGTACTTGTCGTGGGTGGGTTATATAAGTAGGTACTTTATTTTACTTAAATAATCGTAAAACAACCTAAAGATAATATTGACAAGCAATTTTGACAGTAGAGAGTCGAAATAATTATGTACTGCTTAAAAACAAAACTGCTTCCAAAACTTATGAACGGTAGTGTATATACGTAATTAACGAGGTTTACTAATATTGAGGATCCTGCTTACCCCTCTCTTAAATTAATTAGGTGGCATTGTGTGTCAAACTTGACATCATACATAGATGTGAATCTGGTGTTGCGGGTGTCCATGGGCGGCGCTGATCGCTTACCATCAGGTGATCCGTCTGCTCGTTTGCCTTCTATTCCATAAAAAAAGAGATCCATCTCAGGATATTAATGAAGTGTAATCAAATGTGTGCAAAATTCTATCTTTTCAAATGGACACATCTGTTTGATATTAATAATAATGTAACGTGCTTATATTTTGAAAAATATCGTGTGCTGGTTTAAGATGAAATAACTATGTAACCAATGTACCGTGTCTCGCAGCCGGGCCGCCGCCAACTACTGCTGAACTCGCTGCTGGGCCCCGGGGCCTCGGCGGCGGGCGCCCGAGCCGCGGCCGGCGCCCAGACCCCGTCCGATGCCGAGCGCGCGCGTCTGCAGGCCGTGGCAGCGTACCGAGCGCTCAAAGCGAACAAACACAAAATGAAATAAACTCGTCAACAACTATTCGTAGAGTTTTCATTGAGCGTTGTTTTCACCCCTATTCAAAAAGGTGGATTTTAAAACTATTATGGCGTGGATGTCTGTGCCATAGCCATTTAAAAAAATAGTACTTCCTTAGGATCCTTTCTTCATTTCTACCAAAACAACTAAACATTTAAAGTGATCAGCAAACCTCTCTGTAAATAGAATCATGTCAACACGACTTTAGTTTTCGATAAACGAATCTTGTAGAAACTATACAAGTTTTTAAAGAAATCAAGACCAAATCAACTGACAATCTTTGGGGACTATCAGTAAAAGTTTGCAAGTCACGCATTCAAACTGTAGTGTCGTATCTGGCTATGATTTTCAATAAAAGTATAGTTGACGGTGATTTCCCTGACTTAATGAAATATACCATTATTTAAAAGTGTTGACAATAAAGAACTTTACAGCTACAGAAGTTAACTACAAAGTTTTTGAAAAGTTAATGCTTTCTCGGATGCTCCATCATTTTAATAAACCTTATATCTTTCACCAAGAACAATATGGTTTCACTAAAGGTCATTGTACAACTGACGCCGGTATTACTTTAATGAAGGAAACATTTGGCGCTTGGGAAGAAAGAAGCACAGGATGCTATAGGGGTCTTCTGTGACCTCTCAAAAGCATTTGATTGCGTTGACCACGAGACAGTTGCAATAAAATTAGGTCGCTAAGGGATTAGAAATACCGCACTCCATGTAACGAAATCTTATTTAGAAGAAAGACAGTTAAAGGTTCATGTCAACGGTATCAACTCAAAGGGCTCTGGGATGAATATGGGCGTTTCTCAAGGTTCAATATTAGGTCTCTTTCTCTTTTTAGTCTAAATAAATAATTTGCTACCTATTTATATTCAAGAATGAACCAAAAATGGTGCTTTTTGAAGATACATCATAATTCTTTAAATAGATCGACATGCAAATAATTTTTACGACGTAAACAAATCCATTCTTCGAGAGCATAATTGGTTCACCATTAATAGTATTTTATTTTATTTATTTATTAACACCTTGAACGCCATGGGGGACAAGGTATGGGCCACGCTAGCGGAGGATTTACCCTCAACAGTTTTCTGTCGGCAGTCAAAGCCTTAATAACCTAGCGCTTAGTGAAAAAAAAACTAAAGGGAGATTGAGCTTTGCTACTTTTGCAGTTAGTCAGATAAGACAGCTCTCAGACGTAGATACAGCAAGGCTTGTTTTAGTTATTTTCACAGTATTTTGTCGTACGGCATTTTGTTGTGGGGTCGAGCTGCAGAAATATAATCAACTTTATTCTACAAAAGCGGGCTATCCAAGCAATATATGACTTACGCCGTTGCGAATCCCTGAGAGGATTGTTTAAATTGATAAATACTTTATATATAAATATGAAAATATAATGTGTGTAAGGAAAACTAGGCAATTGTTTTAAAAAAGAAGCGATAGACACATTTTTAACACTTGAGGCAAAAAAGTTAGTTATACCGCGATTCAGACTGTCCAAGGTACAGACAGAAATCCTTCATGGGTGAGGATCTGCGTCAGGCGGTAGGTGAGGACGCCGTAGCGTCTCTCAAGCCACTCCTCAAAGAAGGGACTTACCGCTGCGATGGCAGCGAGCCCAGCCAGTACAATGTTGGATAATGTATCAGAAATATTGTAAAACAAGTTGTTTTTTAAAGGAGTAAGGAATGGAGTTTCATGCTCGTTCTTCTCCATTCGAATCTACATTCTGGAATGAGCACCTAGCTTCATTGACGGCCAGGCAGACATTTATTTTGTATTTGTTGACGTTTCGGAAGTACCATTATGGATTCATGAAATTAATGCTTTGACTTGATCGAAATTATACATATACACCCGCCATCTTGACACCAATACGGTGCGTGTACTATAGATATTTTATTATTTACAAACTTCTTATAAAACATAATAATACCAAAAAGTACTTTTTACCTCACGTACAAAATTATTATTATTTGTACGTACAAAATTATTAGCGCCTAATACCTATGAAGAATTAAATCATAACAGGTTTTGTTATATTCTTGGCCAAGTTTTGAAGTGTCAGCCATGTTTGTTTTTTTAAAGTCAAGCCGTAAATCGACTTTTATTTAGATAAAAAAGGAGGATGTTTATGGCAGCTTGGAGTTGTCTCACTCAAAGATCTCTTTGGCGGTGGCACGTGCATTGGATCGTTCGATTCCCTACAAAATGGTTGAGTTGGGCGGATAATCTCCACGAACGAGCGATAATTCCGCCGCGTATCGTTACGGTATCGCAGCGATTCCGCGGCGACTCGTAACGGCATCGCCGCGTTTCCTTGACGTCACCCTTGAGGCAATGCTGAAATGACGCTGCGTTTGACAGTGCGCCCGCCGCGCGCTCGTCGCGAGAGTGCCGCGAGCGCGCGGCGGTCGCGTTGCTAGTCGCGGCGGACTAGCGACGATGTAATGACGTTTTGCGCGCTCGTTGCCACTCGTCGCATCGCGATAATATCACCGTGTGGAGATGGTTCCATAGAGAGTGTATAAAAAAATGGTGCACTGGCACGGCGATAATATCGCCGCGATTCTCTCGCTCGTGGAGACAGCCCCTAAGCGAACTGAGTCCCTTTGTGTAATACAATAGTAAGGGCCTACCTGCCAGCTGTAGGGGTTTGTGGTGAAATGAAACGACAACTGTCTATTACTCTTACAGAGTTTATTTGAATTTGTTCTTAGAACGGTGACTGAATAAATTCATTAAATCTTTCGCGGCACAACAACCATCACATTCATACAGTAAATCACAATCTTTAAATAAATGTTCATATTATTAAGACATAATATTATTTAAATTAATTTTATTATCTCCAAAATAGATTTATTACTTAACGTATTAGTAGAGGATCACAAAATAATGGATAAACCTACACGAACCGCGAGCAGAGCGGTGCCGTGTAAATATCTCTGACCGGCGCGCCTGCTCCGGAGGCCAGTTAAAGCTTGCTTTTAACCCTTAACGATAAAGTAATTACAGTATCCTAACTTGTACTTCATTTCCTACAAAATAAATAGATCGATGCTTATTCCTACGCATAACTATCACTCTTTGTTACTCTTTAGTCTCTACTCGTAAAATGTTGATAATTTAGTTGAAAGTCTGCCTAGCTCTCAAGGGGAAAGCATGAGCGACACATGCACACCACACATAATTACGAAGGGATCACAGCTCGCACAGCCATAAGCTCTCAGACTACGTCTACTCAGTAACCTATACGACTATATATTATGTACACAAGATCATTTTACATCGCCGCGCTCGTGCGACGATGGCTCTGAGGCTCGCTCGGAAGGGAACGTATATACACGCTGCAACTACAGTATACATATAATAAGTCTCGTCTTAACTAAATATCACACTGGAGCGGCTAGGCGGGCGCCAGCGCGGGCGCCAGCTTGGCAGGCTCGAGGCGCTCGTCCGCGGCCAGAAGCCGGTCCAGCTCGTCGTCCTCGTAGAAGACCACGAAGTGCTCGGGCTTGGCCACGGCCTCGAAGATGGAGCACACGGACGGCTTCACGTTGTAGAAGTACAGCGGCTGGCGGCGCGCGTGGAAGTCGCCCGTCAGCTGCTCGATGCTCTTGGCGGCCGTGTAGTCGGCGCTGTAGATGTGCGTGCACTCGATCACCACGGGCACCGAGCTGGACGCCGCGTGCTTGGTCACCAGGCGCCGCACGTAGTCCACGGACGGGAACATGAGGCAGCGGTCCGGCGTGATCATCAGGTACTCCACGCCGTGCTCCGTCTGCAAGTACACGGCGGTCAGAACCGGTGCGCCGGCCGTCTCGCGGACCCTGGCGCATGCACTTACCTTCAGCATCTCCACGGACAACTTGGGCCGCGCGGCGTGGTACAGGATGAAGATGATGTTGACGATGACGCCGGTGAGGATGCCCAGCTCTATGGGCAGTGTCAGGCACAGCACGAACGTGCCCACTCCCGGGATGAGGTCTAGCTCTGAAAGCGACGCGTCCGTTAGTGAGCCATGCGGCATGATTATGTTCGACTCAGTGAACCGACGACGAGGTCCAGCTGTCAATTGCTTTCGTAACGTATACTTGCGTACTCACTCTTGGCTCGCCACATTGGCTTGATCACGTTGTACTCTACCATGAACAGTATGGCAGATACGATGACGGCCGCCAATGCCGCCTTCGGGATGTATTCAAAGTACTGAGTGAAGAATTGCAACGCCAGAATGACCATCACGCCTGTGGATACAAAAACGGTGGATTTACTCTTGAATCCAATTCCGATCGATTGATATATACATTGTGAAATTTCGTACTCTTGAGTTTTAACACTAGCGCCCATTGCCTCCGTATTGCGTGGGTATTGAATGAACTAAATAGTATTCAGTTTGTTTTTATATTCTGCACTCTGAATGCTATTTTAACAACTAAAATAGGGGTTGTATAGTTTTGACATTGAATAATTATTGAGTTTTCATTGGATTGCTATTGCATTGACATTGATTTCAAGAGTATGAGTTTAGTAAACTAGTCCCTTGAGCGCGACACTCGGTTGTGCGCGAAACTCACCGGTGTACAGGCCGTTGAGGGTGGTCTTCACGCCAGAGCCGTTGGAGACCACGGAGCGCGCTAGGGACCCACCGCCCGGGTACGCCTGCATGAAGGAATTGGCGATGCTGGCCACGCCGAGCGCGATCATCTCCTGTGTGGCGTCGATAGTGCGGCCGTCGGAGAAGGCTTTGCAAATCGCGATGTCTTCGAGCAACACGATGAGCGGGATGACGAGCAGACCCGAGCCCATCTCCGACACCATGTCCAGGAAGTCGGCCGTCGAGTTGTCGGCGCGCACGTAGCTGAACGGCGGCAACTGCGGCCGAGGCACGCCCGACGGGATCGCACCTGTACACAACACGCTCGTCACGCTCGTCATGCTCCGGTCGCGCCCGCGCTCGCCCGACTGATGCTAGCTACTCTACGTGAACTT